GCCCTGTATCGGGAAGACGTTGACCACAACGATTTTGGCTTTGACCGCAGCGATTTTCCGACCAAGTTGGTCAAAAAGTGGTCGAATCTCGTAAATTTGCTGATTTTGCGCCAAGCCTCGTGTTCCTCCAGGTGCCGGCCCAGCGCATGATGTTGATGAAGTGGTCTCGCGGATTATCTCGCAGTCATAAATTCCAAGGCCGGCCGAGGCAGTGCGGGGCGGGGCGACCCCCACAGTGTACCTGTGCTCATTAGTGTACTTGTTGACGACGCGCCGCGACGCGCATCGCCCTCTGTTCGTGCGGTTCAGTTTCTAATGAGAGCTGGCCTGCCACGGCCTCGCCCGCCTCGCCCGCCTCACGGGCTTCAACCAGCGGGGGCGGCCTGGGCGGTCTCGGGGGCGGTCTCGGGGGCGGCAGCACCCCCAGCGAGCGCAGCGCAGCGAGTCATAGAATAAGGCAGCAACAGGAGCGCTCGCTCCGCCTCGCCCCGCCTCGGCCTGTTCGGGCCTTCCGCCGCTCCACCATCCGCGGACTGTATATTCCACCTTCTTTCCATACTTGGCCTTCTTGTTGCGCAAAGCGTTTTACGGCGCCACAATTTCTTGGAGGGCCAAGGAAGGACGCAGCGTGTGGGGCAGGGGCGGGCCGGCGAGGAGGGGGGGAGGGGCGGCTCTGAATATGCATACAGGCCAAGTAGAGCCTCCTCGCGCGCTCATAACTAAACATGAAAGAGGTTTACACGCCCCGCCCCGCCCCGCCCGGAGTCATCTATGTTTATTCATCTATTTATTTTCTGGCGGTGCGCGTGTGTATAGCGGCCGAGCAGTCGGTCGGGCACGCCGTCGTGCTCGCGGTGACGGCCGACGGCGACGCCGCCACGCCGTCGCGGACGCGGTGAAGGCTGTGAAGTTAGCCGTCTGCGCCAGAAGGACAAGCAAGGAAAAAAAATCACCAAAACAAGAACTTTTTATTTTTTCAGTGAACGTAAGGGCGCCGTAAATTGCGTGGCATTATACGTCTTTGTTGAATAAAAAGCGAAATGACCGCAGCGACAGATCACCGCCTACGCATCCTGCACGACGGCGGCTCGGCTACCCCCACCTTCTCTTTTCACAGACACTGGCACAGCCTCTCTCTCTCTCTCTCTCTCTCTCTCTCGCACACACTCTCACACTCACACTCACACAAACACACCTCGGCGCTCCGTCATGCCATCCCCCTCCTTTTCCCAATAATATACGGATTTCAATTTCACTGGCTGCGCCCTTGCCCGGCCCGCCCGGCCCGGCTCCTTCGGCCTACTCCACCCCACTGGCGGGGCGGGGCGGCACGCGGACAGCACTCGGACGTGATTATTACAGGTGTGGGGCACGGCCCCAGATAAAAACGCGCCCTTTGTCAAAAGACTCGCTTGATGCCTATTTGCCTGCGTTATTTATGAGAGCGTGTTATGAATTTGGGGGGAAAGGGGAGGGGGCACATTCCAAATGAATTATGCCGGGGGACAGCGGGGGGAGTGGGGGGGGGGGGAGCGGTCTAGAATGTAGTAGTATTTCGTGAATATGCCTGGGCTGGCGGTGCCTGGCGGCTGCCTGCTGCTTCTTGCGGCCCATTCAGGAAAGTCTTGAGTGGCCCAGGCAGCCCAGCCCGGGCTAAGAGGCAATTTTCTTCATGCGACGTATGCATGTGCAGCATGCTACCTCGACTGCGCGGGAAGGGAGACATAGTGGCGCGACTCTGTCCCTTTGTGCGCGATCGCAATAGCACGGCCCCCGGCTTCAGATGACGAGGGGGGGAGGGGAGGGGGGGGAGGCATCGGCACGACGCGCCAACGAGCACGCGGCCCGAGTAATAGAAGGTGTTAATAAATTCATGTTACGAAATTACTATGGGATCGTCCAGGGACGACCCGAATGGGGGAAAATAACGCCGGTCCAATGGAGGCGCGCGCACACACACACACACACACACACACACACAAAAAGCACGCGCACACCACACTTCCTCCACCGTTTGTCATATCCTTTTTATTTTTTCGTCAGCCTGTACAAACCAATACTGATGAAAGTGCCCTTCCCGGGTTGGCGGCGCGGCGGGGAATTGAATTTGACGAACACGATTCCCATCGGCAGCCTACGCCGCCCCGCCCCACCATGCCCCGCCTCACCCTCCCCCCCCCCTCCCCGCCCCGCCCCGCCCCGCCCCGCCGGCGAGCAATGTCGGGGATGCGCGGCACGAAACGCGAAGCGCGAGGATGTTTACAGAGGCGGAACAAGGTGCAGCAATCGGTCGGTCAATCTCTTTTGCCTAGCTAATTCCTTTCAACGAGCGGTAATTTCGGAAATCGTGTTTCGGTGCGAGTAACTAGCTCCGGGCCGCCGGAACGACACACAGACCTCGAGGGGGCACTCAAGGTCGCGTTGTTGCGGCGTTGCGGCTCAGTTTAAGCGGGATCACCGGATTTGAGTCCCAGCAAACGGCGGCAACGCCTGCCGGAGATCGTGAGGCATTATTTCGCTATGCGAGTACACTGCTCACTCGTGCGCGGCCCAAAGTTTTGACAAGAGACGGAGAATGGTTCTGCGAATTCTGTATTGAGGCGAATAACTAACCCCTATTTCTCCTCCTCCCCGTAAATGGGCGAGTGCCATACTGGCGCCGCGCGCCATGCAAATCAGGCGCAGTTTAGCCCAATAAGCCGAGCAGCCGAGTGCACCACTCCAAAAACGAAGGGCTTAATTCGCTCCGGGGAAAAGAAACCCCTTCTCCATGACGTTTGCGCGGCGCGCTGCATCGAGCCTCTGCCGGGATAATCTTCCTCGAGACAAAGAAGGCCCTGCTGCTGGAGCCGCCGAGGCCTCAACTCCTTTCAGGCCTCCGATAACTGCCGGCCTCGGCGCGCCGCCCACCCCCAACCGCCCCCACCACTCCGCCCGCGCACCTTCCACGACCCCTCCCGCCCCCGCGCTGTTCGCAAGAAGAGACGCACTCAAAAGCCGTCTCACTATAAACTTTAAATGGTCCATGAAAATGAAGCTGCACTCCTTGCCCCTCCCCTCATAGTTAGGGGCGGCCCCGCAGGCATTGGGGGAGGGGGTGGCCAAGGGGCGGCCAGGGGGTCGCGAGAGGTTAGGTCGTGGTGGATGGGGTGGGAAGCATCACGCCTGGAAGCAGGTCAGGGATGAGATTTCGGAAGTTAATTTCGGAGCGCCGCGCTGCCGCGCTACTCCGGCAAACTCCCCGAAGCCAAAGCGATCCCCGTCTTTGACGCCGAAACCTCCCGCAGCCCGGCCGAGGCCAACCATACCCGACCGGCCGGGCGGGCCCCTCGCTGGCACCAAATGAAAGCCACACCGCGTCCCAAACGGAATCCCAAAGGCGCTCCAAATAACGACACGTGAGCTGACGCTTGCCGCCAGCTGTCTGCCAGCCTGGCCTGGCCGGTCTGGCGCGGTCATTCCGACAGTGAGCGATGAGGCGTGTGTTTAGAGCGCGGGGTAGCGGCAGCCAGCGGCAGCCAGCCAGCCGCGTGGAGTATCGCCAGGCGTTATTGGAATGGCATCGCTCCAGGCAGGCCGAAGCGGGCCGAAGGCTAAGCGTCCCCTTCTAATGATGCGCCCGCTTGGCCCGTCACAGCCTTGCCAAAAAAAAATCCAACGCAACTTTCTGTTTTGTTTTCAAACGAGTCTACGGGGCGCGCTTGACCTGAAATGGATGGCGAGGTGTCGCATGCGGCTGCATCGCGCTGTGGCGGCGCGGCAGCTGATGCAGCCGGATGGTGCATCATCATTTCGGCCACCCGCTGGGCCACGCTCACACTCTCGCAGTGTAAGCGCGCGGGGCAATCGCGCCGGTGTTGGGCGGTTCATGCTCAACCATGCTCGAGCCATTGGCGAGAGAGCGTTGCCGCGGAGGGAAAGGGGAGGGGGGATACGCCACGCTGGGGATTGGAACTTTACCCGGCTCGTCTTCAGCTCCATTTCCGTTTCGGTAGGAATTAATGCGTGGCCGCGAGGTCCGCGGGGCGGGCCAGTCGAGGCGGGCAGCCCGCAGAGGGCGCGCCTGGGGACGGCGGCGGGGGCGGCGGCTGCGAAGAAGGTACGGGCTCTCGAGCCAGGGGGTGCTCCGCTCCTTGGGGGCGGCACGCGGGGGCCGGCTGGGTACGCGGGGGCGGCGCGGGGGCGGCGGCGTCTTCGTCGGTGAGGCTGGCTGGCCCGGAGAGAGGAGCTGGGCCCGCCAGAATTACATTGCCAGGGTGGCCCCGGCCAGGGTCGCCCTCAAGAGATTTGGGTAAGTGCGACACGGGGCGGCGGGGGCGGCCCGAACGGGCGGACAGGCCGAGCTGGCCAAGCAAACCCAGCAGGCCGAGCGCTGTGTTGAACGGAAGTCGGTCGCTGGGCAGTTTGTGCACCAAGACGGCCGACGTCCCCGACGAGGTGCACAGACTTGCCACTCCCTGCGCACGAAGCACGCCGACCGTGCTACGGGTTTCTCTCGCCTGCTCTGGGAGAGGAGCTCGGGCTGGGCTTCGCGTGTGTCTTTGGTCGCCGATCCCGTGTGTCATGCCTTTCTCCGGCTGCGTATTCCTAGGAGGTTCCTTTCTGAATATGAACACAACTTTCCTCGGCCCCGGCCGATGTGCTGACGCGGACTGACGGGGCGCCGCCTTGTACAAGCCCTTTAGGGCCTAGTCTCGTTACTGGGCGCGGCGCGGCACGCCAGTTGGCAAGTTAGTTGTCAGGTAAGTTAGAAAGTGGCCCTCCCATCATCACCTGGAGCAGGCCGGAGCAGGCCCGACTAGGGCAGCCGAGTCTCAAAATCGCCTGCAAGGCTCGTCGAGACAATGAACCTTGCCCTGGGGCCTGGCCGCGCCGCCCTGGGCCCAGTAATGACAGCCCCGCCCCGCCCCGCCACTGTTTGAACAGCAGTGCGGGCCGGCCTGGCCCCGCCTGGCCCACCTGGCCCGGGCCGCTCGAACAACGCGCCGCCGATTACCGAAGCCCCACACGCGGCCTGCCGTGGGCACAAGCGGCACAAGCGGCACAAGCCGAGTTTGTCTGTCCGCGCTCCGCGCCGACGTCGCCATGGCCGTGCTCGGCGTGTTGCTGGTGTGTGCCCTGTCAGCACTGCTGTCCACCGCCCTCCCCACGGTGAGTGTCCGCCGCGCCGCTTTTTTGTCGTCCTTGTTGTTGTTTGCGCCGAGAGAAAGCCACCTCAGTGGGAGCAGGTCGAGGCCACGAGGCAGCTGCACGACGCCGCGGACTACGAGGACCCCCTGGCCAAGGCCGTGATGGAGTGCAGCGACATGGTGGCCCCCGTGATCGGCGAGCTCTCCTCCGAGCTGTACGTCGACCTGTCCCGGACGTGCTGCGAGGATGCGGCGCTGGCCGTGGTAGAGGGCCGCGCCCTGGCCAGTGCCGCCGCCGCCGCGGCGCGCTGCTTCTCCCGGACGCTGTACCCGCGCGCCGCCAAGCCCGCCGTCGCCAGGCTGGTGCGCTGCGTGCGGGACCTGCTCGTCGAGGAGTAGGCGGCCTCGGCCTCGGTGTCCGGGCCGAATCATTCATCCAGTGTGCTCGGAACAAATAAACGCGCGCGGCAGTAGTTTGAATGGAAACTGCGCCGCCCAGACCGCCAGGAACGCTGCGTCCCTTTTGTACTGCCTGCCTCCCTGCCTGCCTGGCTGCCTGGAGGCCTTGCTGCCGGTTCCCGCGCGGCCCAGCCCCGGCCCAGCCCCGGCCCAGCCCCGGCCCGCTCGCCGTGGCCAACTGCATTAACAATACATTACCCCTTTCAGAGCATTTTTTACGGCGCAGTAACTCGGGCCCGCCTTTCAGTCGCTCGGCCCTTCGCCTCGGCCCGGCACACCGGCCAGCCGGACGCCGTCTTTGCCAATACAGGTTCAAAATGTTTAATCGCTGGCCTTGTTGCTGTGTGCGAGCTAGTGCGCCCTCGCTGGGGCAATGCGATTCAATATGACCGGGTACGTGTACATGTGTGGCCATGTTAGTGTGTGCGTGTGTGTGTGTGTTTTCCGAACGTTTCGCTAAACTATTCTCCTCGCAGTCTGCTGCTGGAACGGAGCCAAACGACTGGAGGGTGGCGGCTGTGTATGTGCGACCTTGTATTAGTGCGCGGAACCGCATCCGTGTGTGTGTGGGGGGGGGCATGTGTTTGTGTGTGTGTGTGTGTGCGGGCGCGCGCGCGTACGTGTACGGGTGGGTGTATGTTTGGGCATTAGTGATAGTGAAGCTGTTGAGTGTTTTGTCCTTGGGCATCGTATATGTGTGAGCCAGAGTCGACACTGTGTGTGTGTGCATGCATGTGTGTGTGTGTGTGTGTGTGAATGTGTGTGTGTGTGTGCGTGTGTGCGTGTGTGCGTGTGTGTGCGTTTGGCGGCCGGGCGGAAAGCAGAGGACGCCGGAGGACGGGTGTGCTGACCGCACTACTGGCAACGCTGGCAACGCGTTCAGCTCGACTTTTAATTTCCGCCCGAGGCCTTCAGGGCCTTAAGGGAGAGGGCTGCGTGTGACAGTCCTGTGGGCCCAGGGCCCCGCCGGCCACCCACGCCTGCGGGGACGCCCACCCCACACACACACCAATACACACAGAAGCCCCCAAAGTCACGAACGAACACCTCCAGCTCTACGAGTAACGTCGCCTACACGCGAAATACAGAACTCCAAAACACTGAATAGGTTAGTGATACATTTTTAAAAACGCTCAAAAACAACCACAAAGAACCCCTTTTTCTAGCCGAAATTGCATGTTCCCCGGCGGGCGCTCTTGTCTTGGCGCAAGGTCCTGCCGGTGGGGGAGGGCGGCGCGCCGCGGCGTGCGGGCTGCATGTGTGCAGGGCGCCTCGCGCCGCCTCGCGCCGCCTCGCGCCGCCGAGTTGGCGGCACCCGAAGTTTTCTGCAGACGAGCGGCAGCATCATTGGAGCAGCAGCGGGAACGAAGTTTCGTTTGTCCGTCAACAGCCGCCAGCCAGGCCAGGCAGCCCAGCCAGCCGCCTTGAGGAGGAAGCAGCCCCCAAGTTTGGGGCGCGACGGTCTGCCCGCCGCCATGCAGGGCGCGCTGCAGGCAGGGCCCAGCGCGCCTGCACTCGTGTCGTCGTCCACCGCGACGGCCTCGGCCGCCTCCATCTGCACCGCGGCGACAGCGGCGCCCGGCCGCGCATTATGGCGATGCAGTTCCGGGGAGATAAAATTGCGGTATACTTTACGACACGTCTGCCAGCCCGGCTGGCTGGCTGGCTGCCTGCCTGCCTGCCTGCCTGCCTGGCTTCTCATCCGCCCAGACGCGCTGCCGCCGCCCCTTATTACCCTGCCGCCCCCCTCCCCCGACCGTCGTCCTGATCCTGGCCCCGTTTTAGCCCCAGACGACGATCCGGACCCGAACTAGTCACGTCTGCAGCGGCGTGGCCGAGGGCGTGGCGGCGTGGCCGGGCTAAGCGGGGGTGCAATGGGCCGCGCAGGGGGTGACGATGACGGCCCGCTCTGCTCAAACAGTGCCACCGGTCCCGAGTCCCCGAGCGCCTCGCCGCCGTGCTGGCCGTCTCGGTGCACACCGGCACGCCGGGCCGGGCCGGGCCGCGCTGACCCTGGCCACGTTTCCTCATTTCCGTCGCAGCAACTTCCTCCTGGCGAGAACAAACTACAAAATACAGTACTCGGAAAGTTAAGTGAATGTAGGTCGCCGGATTGGGGCAGCTAGCTCGCGAGGTGCGAAGAAGCTTGTGCGGGGCGGCGCGGGAACGCATTAGAGAGAGACGGCGATAGGGAGAGGGAGAGAAAGAGGGAAGCGGGGATATTAGAGAGGCAAAAACAATCTATTTTTGGGTGCGGTAATCAAACGGCCGGAATGAGGGGTATCGGAAAACGCTTGGAAGGCTTCGGCTGCTTCGGGTGCTTCGGCCTCGGCTTCGGCCGGCCGGACCGCGAGAGGCACGTAACTCGCAGCCGAGGCCCGCGCAGTTACGCGGGCTTAGCCGGGCCGGGCTTAGCGTGGCCGGGCAGGTGGGCACAGTGTAAAGCACGACGCAGAGAAGAAGAGCGAGGAGACGGGTCGTTATCATTTATTTTGTGTCCTTTTACCCTTTATTTACAGACGACAATCTCCTTATCCGGCCATCGCGGCCCAGCCCAGGCCCAGCCAGCACCGCCACTCTATTTTTATTTATCCTCGAAATAAAGAGCTAACAGGGCGAGACGCAGATCGCGTCGCGCGGTGCCGCGGTGCCGTGGGGGTGTTGAGTTACGGCCGTGTTTGACGACGAAATCAAATAAAAGGAAACGAACGTTTGGGACCGAATGGCGACGGCTGCGGGGAGCCCCAGAGCACCGCGTCCGTTCCAGCGCCAAACCACCAAAGCGCTTCCCGAAACGAAACGCACACTCTCAGCTGAGCCAACAAATTAACAGTGGCGACCCAAGCCAATTCCCGACAGGGGCCGAACTAAGTCTCATTCCTACTCACGATAGAGAGAGAGAGAGAGAGAGTCTTCTCAGTGTATTACCGGTTCTAAAGGCGGTGGCGTGCCGACGCATGTCGTTCCTCCGTCTCGCTCGCACGGCCACGGCCCCATGGCGTGGCGCTCGGCAGCGCCTCGCAGTGTAGCGAACGAGGTTTGACGACGCGCTTTGGCCTAGACCCGCCGCGCCCCGCCGCGCCCCGCCGCGCCCCGCCACGCCACCACCACCTCCAATACGGCTGGCTCCTCGCGCCACCCATTTATAGCGGATACAACAATGTCGTAACACGGACCATTATTTCTGCGAATAACGTTCACCCATAAAACAGTGAGGCGGGCGCCGATCGCTCAAGCGCCGCGGCGGGGCTTGCTGTGCACGCTCTGCTCCGCTTTTGAGGCGATACATTGTCGGAGCCAGACGTTTCGGCGAGGGTCAATGAGTTGCAGGCGCAGCTTGACTTCCGGAGAGGCAGCCTCGAAAAGGACCTACACTGCTGTGGAAAACCGGTTGAGTGTGAAACAGTCTCCGCGATTGTGAATAACAAAGCCTCTCTCTTCCGTTTCGAAGTGCCGGCGAACGCGGTGTGGGTTTCGGACGCAACGACACGCCACGGCCCCACCTCTCCCCGACACTGCCTTCCTGCTCCACCTCGAGGCAGACATGGTGGCTCATCTTGTTTGGTCTGCGGGCTGATTTGTCGTCTCGCGAACGCAATCAAAGCCCCGCAGGAGGAGGGACCCAAGGACGACGGCCGGGTACTGGATGAAGGGGCCGCGCGGCGCAGGGCCGGGGCGGTGCGGAGCGCCGAGACAGCCAGGGCGGCAGGGGCGGCCAAGGGCCTCTCCTCTCCAGAGTGATCCCTCGCGGGGTCTCGCCCTCGCCTCACCCGACATGAGAGTCCTCTGTCTCTGCAAAAGGACGTGGCGGCGGTATAGTCAGTCAAAGGGGTGCCTGCACTGCCTGGCGTAGTGCCTGGCGTGCCACCCAAGCCGGCGGACGGCGGAGACGCGCTGGAGGATGAGGACCAGGACGTCGCGAGGACCTGGCGAGGACGGCGAGGACGAGCCGAGAAGTGGAGAGAGGGAAGGGGCAGCCGTAATGCAAGAAAAGGCATCGAGCAGCTGTTTACATATTCAGGGCTTGAACCTGCAGCCGGCCGAGCCGGCCCCTACCTTCCCCTCGCACCGCCTCGCACTCAACGAGGTAATCGGGGAGCCCCACGCGTCCTGGGGCCCCCGGCAGCCCCCTGCAGCCCGGCAACAGGATACGTGTGCCCGCGTCTGTGCGTGCGTGCGTGCATGTGTGGGTGTGTGCGAGTTCCCGGAAGGAGCGGCAAAGAGAGGAAAGAGAGAGGGGAACGGGACGGCGATGCGAAGCAGGGCGAGGCGGGCAAGGGAAAGGTCCTGGGGCGCGGCCGCGCGGAGGGAAGGGTCTGGCCGCGGTACTTGGGCAGGGCGGGCATGTTGACGGTCCGGAACTGCACGGCCCTCACTGGCGCGGAGAATACCTTCCACTCCATCGTCTCGATGAGGACTACCGTCGCTACCGTCGGAAACGGCCAGAACGGCAGCGGGTGGACGGACAGGACGCGGACGGAGTAAAGAGGTTGAAGAGGGGACGGCGCGGGTAAATTTCGGAACGTTCCTGGAAAAGAAAGGACGGTGGTTTCCTCGGAGCAACGATCAAGTCGCGGGGCAGGACGACCTGGAAGGCTCCCGACGGCGTGGTGGCGGTCTCGGTGTCGCTTCGATCCATCAGCCCCGGGGCCCGGGCAGGCCAACCCGGCCGCGGGCTCGGCCGCCATCCCAGGCAAAGCGGCAAGCGGCGACCCCATCCCGCCTGTTACTCTGAACGCCTCGCGCGCTTGCCGCTAGCGCCCCGCAGTTAGCCCGGCCGTTGGCCGTTGGCCGTTCCGCGGCGAGGCGGGCTGCGACAGGGATGCCCACTTTCCTCCTAGTGATTCCCCAGCAAGGTTCCCCCCGGCCCGACCCGGCCGCCTGCACTTCGGCGCCGACGGACCACAGAGCGCCCGCGAGACGGCGGGTAGGCACGCCCGCGGCGCAGGGCTGCACGTCGCCGGCCTACCCTCTTCGCTCCAGGCGGACACCCTCGTCGTCGCCGTGCCCCGCACGGTGTTACGTAACGCGCAGAAACACGCGGGAAAGGG